GGGGCACGTGAGTAGGGGTGGGATGGGTGTCAGTCCCGTGGGGCTCAGCCCCACCGGGCTGCAGGGGGGGAAGGACGCCGGGCTCTGCCCCCGCAGACCAGCCGGGCTCCTGTTTCGCTGCGTGCCTGCGCTCAGAGCATCGGCTGGTACTCGTCGAGCAGCAGCCTGTGTTGTGCCCAGAGCAGAAGGTCCAACGTGCACCGATGTCCCGGACCCCAGCGCTGGCTGTGGTCCTCACACCCGCCCTGCCCCATTTCTGTCCCCGTGCAGCAGCTCTTCCTGCACAGACTGACTGCAAGACTATTTTTTTTCCTTGAAGAACTATAAAAAATAGATGAGTTCAAGCAAATTCTTTTTAAAATAGAAACTGGGTCTGGGCAAAAGCAGTAACAGGTGGAGAAGCAGCAGCAGGGTGGTTTGTCAGTGCTCTGCAGCTGGCACCCAGCAGCGAGGTCTGTCCATGGCACCGTGGGCACATCCAGCCTGTCCCCACCGCTCCCCCCCGACTGCGGGGTGGCTCGGAGTAGACAAGCCCTAAGCTCTGAAATGTGTGTGCTTGTTCCAGTGTTTATGCTGAGCTGCAACTTTCCACGGAGACCTGACTTCGGAGACGTCACTGTGATGGATTTGCACTCGGGTGGAATTGCTCATTTTCACTGTCACCTGGGCTATGAGCTGCAGGGTCCCAGGGTGCTTACGTGCATCAACGCGTCGAGGCCGCACTGGAGCAGCCCAGAGCCAATCTGCTCAGGTACGCTCCTCGTTAGCCAACCTCAGTGCTAAGCAAAACTGGGATCCCCAAAGAAAAAGAATTAGAATTGCTTTCTTTGTGCTGTGAGTTGAATGTGGTCCTGGGAGAGAGTGAAAGCGATGCCCAGCTCTGCGCACAGCGCAGCTCGAGGTGCTGTGGGTTTTCACATCACTGGCAGCAGAATCTGCTTCCTAATTAGGCAGGTAAGGGAAAGGAAATTACAGGTCTTATGTGTGTGTGTGAGCATATACGTGTGTGCGTAAAGCAAAGCCAAGCCAGGCAAGAGGTTTGTATGTTAAAGACTGCCGAGACCTGGGCAGGCATCGGTGGAGTGCTTCACCCCCTTTGCTGTGCGGAAGCCCCGGGTGCAAACGCCTGCCCGTTCCCTTTGCCTCGCCCTGTCTCCCTGCCCCTCTCAGCGGGACTGTGCTCTGTGTCGGCAGCACCCTGCGGCGGGACGGTCCACAATGCCACCATCGGCCGCGTCCTCTCGCCCAGCTACACGGGGAACCAGTCGAGCAGCATGTACTGCGTGTGGGCGATCGGGGCCCCCCCGGGCCAGAAGCTGCACCTGCACTTCGAGAAGCTGCTGCTGACCGAGAAGGACAGGTAGGCTCTGCCAGCCGCTCGTGCGCCCGGGTGCTGCTGGCCGGCAGCGAGGTCTGTGCTGAGCCCGTTTCCCTGCACCCCCGGGGCTGCGGAGAGCTTTGCTCTGCGCAGGGTGAGGAGCGGGGAGCTTTGCTGGGTGCTAAACATACCAAGGGTTGGAAGATCCCAGCTGGCCTCAGCTCCTCCACCTCGCACCTCCTGCCCGCCCGGTGCCCGTGTCCCGGCAGGCAGCACCGACCCAAGGTCGAGGTGCAGCACGGAGGAAGCTGCCAGCCAGAGGATGGTGGGGACGGGGCAGGGAAGGGTCCTGGTGCAGAAGAGGAGGTTCCTGATTCAGGTGTTCAAGCGCTCAGGAGGCAAGACAGGTCTCGGAGCCAAAAGACCTGCAAGAGGCAGGCGCAGAGCACCATCCCCTGCTATCCCAAGGCCCTGCGCGTCATGCCGTGGGATCTTGCTGGTGATGCAGTGTGCTGTGTCACACTCATCCCTTCCTCCCCCCAAATACCCAATGCCCAGCACTGCTCATCGCCACGGTGCAAGAAGCAGCAAATCCCACGCTATCTGCATCCGTAACACAAAGCACACGCTTACGGTGCTGCTGCTTGTGTTTAAACAGCATTAACATTCAATCTGGTAACAGGCAGTACAGCAGGTTTATGGCTTGTAGTAAAATCAAAGAGTAAAGCCTCTGTTTATGACACAGTAAAAGAGACTTACCTGGCTGGTGAATTTTTGTTTGCACGATTTCTTTAAAATGCCATATTCCAGGGGCACTGGAGAGCAGGTGCTGGTGAGGAGGGGGGCCAGGTGACGCTCCGGGTGGGGATGCAGGGACACTTCTCCCACGTAGCGTGCCGTGTCCTCCTGTGCAGGATGGTGGTGTACAGCGGGGACACGAACCAGTCCGCTGTCCTCTACGACTCGCTGCGTGCCGACAGCGTGCCCTTCGAAGGGGTGATCAGCGACGGCTCCTCCATCAGGATCGACTTCCTCGCAGAGGAGCCCACATCTGCCACGGCTTTCAACATACGCTTCGAAGGTGGTGTGCTCCCATTTCGGTACCCTGAGAGCAGCAGGCCGGCCTCAGCCAATGCTCCTCAGGACATTTGGGCTGTGAACAGACATAGGGCTGTAGGAAGGGTCTCGGCTGCCCCTGGCACCGGCAGACCCAGTGCTCTGCCGTGCCACTGTCCCCGTGTCACTATAGGCACACAGGGCAAGCTGAACCTCGCCTGGTGCTGGAGTAGCTTTGGGGAATATGTTTGCTTAGCAAGAAATAGGAAAAGAAATAGTGAAATCGCATTTACTCCAACAGAAAGGTTTGTTGGTGAGCTGAGTGTCCACGGGACACATCTGCGCCTGCCGCGGGGCAGCCCTGGGGCAGTGCGTGCCATGTCCAGGATGGGGCCCCTCCGAATTAACACTGAAAAGGCCATCGGTGCCATGAGAATCACACAGCTCGCAGTGACCATCACCACCAAAGGCCCCTTCTGTCCCCTTCCCTCGGTCCCCGTAGCACAGCACCACTGGGTACCGAGCCCACGCCAGCCACGGGGACAGGGGCTGCCCTGGCTCCTGCCCTTACTGCAGCGTTTGCTCACCAGGCTGCCTTCCTCCAGACCTGCCAGCGGCTCCTTCGGGCAGCGGCAGGGATGGGATGCTGGGCAAGGCCCGGGCAGCTCACACGGATTTGCTCCAGTTGTCGTTTAAGCAGGTCCTGCTGCTGGGATCAGTCCTGCGGGAGCCCCATGCCTCTGAGCAACCTCAATAACGCGCGGTAATCCCAGGGGAGATTGCTCAGCAAATACAGCAATGGGCAACACGGTGTGTTACTGATGCTGATACACAGTGGAAGTGGGGTCTGGTTAAGCCTGCATGGCTCAGGACAGATAAACTGCTGTTAATCCTAGTTGCCTGTAAAATACACCACGGAAGAGGCCATCCGTGCACGGCGGCGATGGAGGGAAGGGTTTCTAGCTGGGGACAGCAGCAGAGCCCATGGCTCATGTAGCAAACCCCCGGAGCTGAGGGTGTGAGGAGCAGGAGAAGACAGCGCTCCCCCCCGCCGGCCCCTGTGGCTAACGGGGGGTTTCTCTTCCAGCCTTTGAGCGGGGCCACTGCTACGAGCCCTACATCCAGAACGGGAACTTCACCACCTCTGACCCCACCTACAACCTGGGCACCACCGTGGAGTTCACATGCGACCCTGGGCACTCCCTGGAGCAGGGCCCTGCCGTCATCGAGTGCGTCAACATGCGGGACCCGTACTGGAATGACACGGAGCCGCTGTGCCGAGGTCAGTCCCGGAGCCGCGGGGCGATGCCGGGTGCAGGGCACGAATGCCCTGGCTGAGCCCTCCCTGCCTTTCCCTGCCGCAGCCATGTGTGGGGGGGAGCTGACTGCCGTGGCCGGGGTGATCCTGTCCCCCAACTGGCCGGAGCCCTACGCGGAGGGGGAGGACTGCATCTGGAGGGTCCACGTCGGTGAGGAGAAGCGGCTCTTCCTGGACATCCAGCTGTGAGTAGCCCAGGACCCCGGTGTATGTCTCTGCCCTGCCAGCGCTCAGCCCATTTCACTGCAGTATCCTGGCTGCCCCCGCCCCAGGGACCCGCACCGGTTCCCTGTTCTCCTCCTCGAGCTTTCCTAATCCCCTGTGATCTACTCAGCACCCAGGGGGAGGTCCAGGGTGGTACCAAGGGCTGCTCCTGAGTTCAAAGCGCTGTTACACCATCCATGGCAGCAGCTAATTGCACCTGAGATGGTTTCTGAACTCTTCCGGAGCAAAGCCCCAGGGAGCGGTGGTGCCACAGCGGCAGGGCGATGACACGCAGCACCATCACGAGCTGGTTCACACGAGGCCTGGGGACATCTGGGAGCTGGAGACCTCAGCTTAGTCTTCGGGCTGGATGGGATACAGGCAGTACTGGGATGCCTAAGGGAGGGCGAGGGGCGGGGGGAGGCTCTGCCCAGCCCTCCCTCCTGCTCCCTGCCTTCTTCCTCTTGCAGGACCAACACATCTTCACAAACTGCATCAGTTCCCCTCCTGACCGCCAGCCCGCTCCTGTGCCATTCAGCACAGGGAGCAGAGCTGCCGCCGTCCAGGGACGGGCAGGCACGGCGGCACTCGCTGCATGTGGGGGGGTCAGAGGGGTGCAGGATTCAATGCCAGGCTGGGAGCCCTTGGCGTGATAAAGCTGTCGATGCAAAGGGAGTCCCCTTCGGTGCTATTTTGGGTTTTCAAGAGGAGGGTGTGTCTTGAGTAGGGGCTTAGAGTCTTAAAGGCTTTAAAGCTTTCTGTAAAATCACAGGTTGGAGCTCCCAGTGCACCTTTCCCAGCTTTGTGGGTGCTTGGGCTGAGCAGAACTGGAGGCCAAGTGACTTGAGGTCATCAAACATAAATGTCACTGAGAAAATCATGTTTGACAGAAAGCAGAGATTTACTACAAATGTCAGCTTGCCATGGGGATTAGCTGGGTGCCTTCCAAGAGCATTCTTAATAAAAGGTTTGGGGATCGGCTCAGGCATCTCCAAACCAGGCTGAATTAGACCGATGGGCAGGGCAGGGGTCCCGCAGTGACCGAGCATGTCCTGGGCCCGCAGGGACTGTGCACGCACAGCCGGCCGGATCCTGCCCCTGTGCAGGAGTCCAGGCCTGGCTGGGAAAGTTACTTCAGCCTCAAACCTGATGGAGACTCCTCCTGTGGGGCCAGGAGCACCCCGGTGCTCTCCCCCACAGGGAAGGGGAGACGTGGTGTCCCTGCCCCTCCTGCACCGCCCCGTAGCGGAGCGCTGGGTGCTGGCTGTGCTCCCCAGCCCTGGGGAGCCTTGCTGGCAGGCAGGACGAGGCAGGACGGCGAGCAGGGGAAGGCGATGTCTGCGCCCGTCCGTGAGGTTGATCCCATCGGTT